TTTCCGACTTCAGCCCACTCGATCTGAGAAAAGCGAACGTCAGTCGCTTTGATAAGCCTAGGTCTCCAATGTTATTGAAGAAGACCCCATGCATTGCGCAGTGAGCCAAGAATGACAGCCTTCTGCATCTGTGCGGCTAAGATTTCTGCCTTAGTGCGGCAAGCCGGTATGATTTTAAGATTCAAGAGTAGAGAGGACATCATTCCACCAAGGACTCCAATAATCAGAATCTTATTATTGAATAGACCTCGTACTGAAAAGTACATATTAGAACTGCTTCGAAGATTGGAAAAAACGCTGACGCAAGTGTATTATATCTGTGGAGGACTGTGTTGAAGGGGCAAAAATATTCATGAATAAATAGATATTTCTTGAGAAAAATTATAATTCACCTCATTTTTCGAACAGACCTCGTATTTTGACTTGTAATGTTTTTATATTCATTTTATAAATATATTGCAACCCTGAAGAAGGCGGCAATAATCGTCGAAACGTTGGTATCAAACATTGTGAATACAGTAGTGTATTTATGAGTTCACTTACTCGCGAAAAAGATATTGTTGACAATGTTTAGATAAATCTCTCAAATTTTGAACTCAGATATTTATAATTCCCATCGTAACATGTCGACGTACATTGCATTGTTGGTATTTTAGTGACAAAATGAGTTGCAATTTAACGCTGATGACGCAAAATCATATACATATTATTCCGTTTTCAATTATGCGGGTCACGTTAATCTCTTTATGAAAATCTGAGTTTAGGTGTCAATGGGTTTTCATCGACTTGATTTCTGTTGCATACAATTTTATGGTGTCGCATTCATGTTATGTCCTCGAAACGTTTTCATTTTCTGTTTTCAGCTTTCCTCTTTTTCCATTTCCCCAATGGCGTATCTATGACAAATTTCGTGGACACCAGAACTATGGAATATTTATCAATTAAAATTTTCAATAATGACATTAACTGATATACCAATTTCAGTTTCGGCTAAATAATTTCGGTTGATATTCTTTCTTTTTAAGCAAATTTGTTCCTGCCAAATACACGATACAGTTTTTTGAAGTAACTTCTTAAGTTGAAAATATTAATTTTAATTTAAGGTTAATGATTTTGCTAATAACATAAGTTAAGGCAAAATTAACTTTTTGCGGACGATACGTGTATCATTTTATCGTACGTAACTTTATAGGAAGTGAATACCCAGGTCAATATTGCATTGCAATATAATTCAATTATTGGTGTTTAAAGTATTCATCGTGGATGTGAACAGTATGTATTGAATTTACATATTCTCTCTGAAGTCAACATAGTTTCGATTTCAGATTGGTCAATGAATCCTTGAGATCAACAACTTCTATAAAATTTCTAGCGAATAACGACTGGGGTTCATTTTTTACATGGAAGAGTACGTATAATTCACACTAAGAAACTGAACCAGTCATAAAATCACGTAAAAGTAAAATTAAAAACCAAATCTCTACTATCAGTGTACTACGCAAAGTTTCATACCATTGTATGTTGCAGCATGGCTGTCTGAGGATTAGCAGATACAATTGATAGATAGATAGATAGATACTTGAGGAAATCCGATAGTGTTATTAAATGTTTTGGAGTGAGGGCTGCTGAAGTATTAGTTTTCTTGTTTTGGAGGTCGTTGATGTACAGTTAAAAACGAATGATATACAATTTGAATCCTTCAAATACTCCAGTGTTAATGGTTAAGGTATTCAAGAAAAAAACATCGATACTTGTAAGGAACGATATCTGAGAAAGCTGGAAAGCCAATAACAAAAGCCAACTTTTGAGCCATAAATATACCGTATAGAGTAACCTTCGTAATCAGGCTTCTTGATCGACTTTTCGATTGTTCTTTTCGTCATCCATCAGCTTCATTGTTAGGTGACAGAGGTGACAACCACCGGCATTCTGAAAAGCTGAAGGTTATTATTGAGAATCAAAATAACACAACAAAAATTTTATATTTTTGTAAAAAAAACTTTCGTAAGAACTTGGTTTTTCTCAAAGTGTAGATATGACTACGACCTAGAGATATAGTACATACGTTTCAATTGGACCATAGTCACTACATACATATTACTTCAGAATGAAATGGGCACTTTTCTGCTTATGTTAAAAAAGGCAGTAATTGGACAACCATTATTATTCAAATAGACATTCATTTGTAATGATTTTCGTCACCTAATCAACAATATTGAATGTTATGTTATGAAAGGAAGGCACAAGACAATTTAATAAATGACAGACGTTGATTGATTCTTGATTTCATGTATTTCACTAAAAAATGGATTTTTAGGCTGCAATCACTTTTTGGAAAATCCTGTATTAGGTACTACAAATATTAGTAGTAACTGAGTATCTCTGAGCCATCCTGTACAAGATATTTGTATCACATACATTGTCAACATTCAACTCATAATTTTTTTAATAATAACTATTCTTAGGCTGGAATGTGTTGGCCAAAGTATCAGATGCAATATTTTTCTTTACAATTGAACATTCAGGTTTCTGGATTTGATAATAATCAAAATTGCCATAAACTTCAGCTTCAAATGAAATTCTACGTAATGTATTGTTATTCAAAACACTATTATTTGCGCTCCGTTAGACTAAAATAAACTACAGTTTTTTATCTGTGTAAATAGTGTATATCTCAAGGGTGTCAGCAGAACATCTGCTGTCCATTTTATTAATTTTATTTGAAGTATAAGGAAGCTATTTCAACTATTTGAGTGTCTAAACTTAGATAGAACGCGACGCGACTGTTGCGAAATAGAAACGAGATAAGTTTGTCAAATGTACTGAGAAAATAGTGTGAGTTTTTGAATAACACTGCAACATTTCAGTGCAGAAATAAAATTTTTACATGCCGTGCGACGTTTTGCGTAATAACTGTAACTAGATAGAGGTGATGAAAGAGTGTATAGTTCGAAATACCTCAAAAAGCATTTGGTTTATCGGAAGCCCTGAATATTTATGCATTTTCTACTGTTCGTACCTTGTCACTCCCAGGTACGTCTGTGCAATGCTGATACTATATATATATATATATATATATATATATATATATATATATACGAAGGTTATCGAGTGTCTTGATATAGAT